GAAGACTAACACTGAATTTATAAACATGATCATCGTCAATCTACGTTGATCGAGATACTCAACATCAAACCTGCTCTGAATGTTTAGCAAAAGTTCACCCATCGCGCAAACTAACAATAAATGAAGATTTTCAATAATTAAAATACAGATCAAAATTCTCTATTCAAAAACTTAGTGGCATAAAAACCTAACGTATAATTCATTCTGTACTTATGTATTCACTGTTCTCCTGTTTAATGAAGATCATCAATGTTTGTTTAATGTCATGGAAATAAGAGTATTACTCGTCTGTTTTACATAATATATATTTTGTGATGTTCAATTTCCGGTTCCAAATTCTCTTTCTTCCGATTCAAATTTTCTTTTTTTTTCAATTATATTTTTATATTCTTAATCTTATTAAATTCATAGCTAATTAACATAACCTATTCATCTATTAAAAAGTTGACATCTTTTATAATTCAATAATGGTAAACCTCTTATTTTTGTTTTTCTATAAAAAAAACATTTTTTCATTATAAAAATAATTACATGCAATATTTTCTTGCATTTAGTTAGCATGTATGAAGTACTGATACTTGTGGTCACGTCTTACATGATCTATGTAAATTCTAATTATGGATTTGATCCTTATTCAAAGGTTTTACATTTCTTGCTTTCAAAATTACCGAAATCGATAGACACGTGCACCAAATTTCTTATATAAAGGACTAAAATAATCAATTCTTTGTTTAATATTCAGATGAAATTTCATAAATAATTCTACATAAAACAATATTACCTGATGGATGTGCATGGATTTATTTTTTGTCACGTGTATTTTCTATCATTATTCTTTGTAATTGAAATATATTTTTTACCAGGAAACCTACTTTATCAGTTTAGAATACATGAAATGTATAACAATATCTAGATTTTTGTTCATCCATTCAACATCATATACAGTGTATAACAAAACACTCGTCATATAAATTTATGATTCTCTAAAACATCTGCAAGGCTGTGAGATTCGCTAAAATATTGCAAATTTATTGTAGTTTATTTGGTTAAAATAGAAAGTGCTTACATCATATAGTCATTATGTTAGGCTAGGACGAGTGAAATGGATAACATTCTTTGTCCAATAAAATTGATTATACAGTTGGATTTTTTAATTATCTACGTAGTAGACTTTTAGTTTTGATTTGGCAAAATGAGAGTATTTTGTGCTGTTTTTCCCGCCCTTTTGACTCATATGTGCTTGAGAATTCTAAACCAAAGAGTGGAGAAAAAAGAAACGAAATACGAAGCAGTCAGTTTTTTTTCGATATTTTGTTGTAATGCTTGTCGTAAAAAAATTCATATTTTCATAAGGAAACGTTTTTAGAGTTTAAAAATTTAAGCGATTTTGCAGTTTTGTGTGAAGAATCGAATGAGCACGGTTTGGAAAACAAATAAAGTCTTTCCTCATGAAAATATGAATTTTTTTACGAGAAGCATTACAAATAAAAATTGAAAAAAAAAGTGACTGCTTCGTATTTCGTTTCTTTTTTCTCCACGCTTTGGTTTAGAATTCTCAAGTACATATAACTGAACCAAAAGGGCGAGAAAAACTGCTTTGCTAAATCAAAACTAAAAGTCTATTACGTAGAAAATTAAAAACAAAATCTAACTGTATAATCAACTTTGTTGGACAAAGAACGTTGTCCCTCTCACTTTTCCTAGCCTAACATAATGACTATATGACATAAGCACTCTCTATTTTAACCAAATAAACTACAATAAATTTATAATATTTTAACGAAACTCAGAGCCTTGCAGATGGTTCTGTTGTGAAGAAACATTAATCATAAGTTTTTATGACGGGTGTATGATTAATTTTATTACGAAATGAGAACCGATATTTAGCACGCCTTAAGTGTGTGGGATTTCATACGAGGAATAAATGTGTTTAGATGAAACAATTGTGACGTTAATTATCTTCACCGAACATTTCAAGTGCACTCTCGTGCATTTAACTTATTAATTTTACATATCCTACTTACTTGTACTTAAAAATTACTTGTAAAAAGTTGAGTCGATAAAAGATCGTTAGTGCCAAGAGCGAATTTCTATCATATTTTCTTTCCATTTATAGTATTTAATTATTAACTTCTCATTAACATGAATGGATCGTGATAATTTTCTTTTTCTGATCTCTGTCATAAATGCATTCAAAATAAACATAATTGCTCACTAATGAGTAAAAAGGAAGCAAACCTATGAAATTGGCTTTGTTAGTCCTTTGTTATGCAAAGCTATGTACAATTTCATAATAAGATGAAAAACGAGCAGGAATTAACTGTAATTCAAAGAGTCAGTTGAAAAATATACGATGGCGATTTGAAATTAAGAAATCATATATAAATATCCTATATTAGTAACGGTAGCTGCAGGACGAGGTATTCTTTTTTCAGCATGTGCAGAAATAGTGGCATCATTATGGTGAAAGAAAACACGCTCATCAGCGTAGCAATCTAGAGTGAAAATCGAAACATAGTGTGAAGGGTATAATGTCTATTAAAGATAAACTTAGTAAAAACGAATAATAAGAATCGAGTGTACATCTTTACTGTCTTTTAATAGTTATCGAGAGTTTCTTAGGTCAACAACGAGCCACGATGAAGAACAACGTGGACATTAGGCAAAAAAACGAAAATTCACTTTTGCAAGATTCAAATAGCAGATCATGTACTTCAGCAAATGCTCTATCTTTTTTCCATTGCAAGTTTTTTTCTAAGTGTCACAGTTAGTGAGATAACGCATTTCCAAAATTTAGCTCGAAAATCTTGGTGCTATAAAAAACGATCTTGTCGTGCACAAAGCAGAAGACATTGAGTTATGAGTCGGACATATTCTGAAACTAGAACTTTCAGACTATCGATTTATAAAAAAAATTCGTTGCCTAACCTTTCCTGTATGGAAAAATGCTTTTTCTTTCTCCGCTAGGTATTTTCCGAAGAACGATCCTCAGTACAGTGAGTTTCTGAAATTTTCCCAAAGTCCAAACTCGGTGAAATTTTCATAGAATGTTGATCAATATATACTACATCGATACTGTTAGCGCGAATTAGCGCGGACAACACTGGACGGAGTTGCAAATTTTCGAAAAACATCCCGGTTTTCCGGTTAGTTTCCATTTTTTCCACTCTGAAAACATTTTTATTGAAAAATAAGGCGAGATTCGGAATCAGCGCAAAAGACTGCATCGAATGTTGTGTCTTTCAATACTGTTGAAGTAGAAAACTTGTAACCTCAACATCATTGTAAGTTCATCGCGGTGATCTAAAAACGCTCTAGAAACCTAACGTTTCAGACCCGGTTTAACGGGTTTTTTGAACTCTGAAAAGTATTCCATTGAAAAAAGTACATTAGAAAACCTATAAACAGAGTGTTTTGAGTTTCGTGAACTTGTTTAAAACCTAATGTCCACGTGCCTGGTGAAAATTCCCCACTGTGCGACAGTTCATATCCATCAGAATCCATAATATTTCCGACATTTTTAGGCTGCCGAACGCCGATCTGATGTGATTATCCAAACCAGGGATTATCTCTTAACATCCAGCTATTTCCAAATACAGGATTCGACAATACGAATTCGACCAGAATCTCGAACCTTCTTAGCTTACACAGGAATTTGTTCTATAAAATTAGAAATTTTTGAGTTAAAACTTTTTTTCAATGTATAATCTTTTAACGCTTGAAGCACGCAACTTGTATGCTGAAGTTTAGCCTTGTTGAGAAAGATCTTAGAGTGTTTCTTGTGCAAAAAGTGTTCAAGATGGTTTTTCCATTCTGAAGAGCTAGTGTTTCGCTTGGTTTCCTCTTCGAGAGCATAATGCAATCAACACGAACGACTAAATTCAGATTCAATCAGAAGTCATAATAAATATCCAGCGATTTTATTTCTTCATCGTTCCTCATCCCATAAAGTCTTCTAAATGCGGTTGTTACATCAAGCATTTTTACTTAGTTTTTGATGTATCGGTTCTGTAAAAAACACAACTTTTTTCTTGTATGTTTGTAATTATGAGAACAAAATAATGATTTTTCTTTCCTCATTTCCTACTCAATCGAGTGACTAAAGAGATTGTTACATTCGAAGTCCCTCCCTAAATAGCTGGCTTCGCAACGGTCCGTTCAGAAAAAAGAGAAAAAAAAGATGAACGTTAAAAATTTTTTAAGAGGAGCTTTGGGTAAAAAAGAGGAAAAGAGGAGGCATTTTTTTGGCCAAAAAAACGGCACTGACAATGTTGTGTGCGTGTCAAAGTGGCTTAAGGCTCTCAATTAAAAGATTTCATCCTACTTAAAGTATTTTTTTTCTAGTTAACGTATGTGCTGCTTGTGCATCTGATAAATCTGCTCTTTTTAATAAATTTTTCCAAGCGCAGGCGACCTTCTTTAATCAGTTGGTTGAGCTGTTCTCTGCTCAGCTTGAAGTTGTTTTTGTTCTGATAATAATTCCTGTTCCTATTCAAATAATTTCTTCTTTTCAATTTCTACATTTGCTTGTTCTTCATTTTCTTTGTTTTTAGCAGTAACAACCGTTTTCTCTCAATAATTCTTCTTTATATAATGACGCTAATTTTTGAACAACACGAATATGGTCTATGCTAATTGACATCTAAAACGAAAGAAATTACAATTACCATGATTTACTCTCACCAACCTTTTTTTTAAACGTTGTATCCCAATCCAAATCCCAGATATTTAATAGCATCATTTGTGGATCCAAGACTATTGATCGATTGTTTCGATAACAATGTCCGATTTTCAGTTAAAATATTCTGATTTATACTAAATCCTCTCTCGGCATCTGCGTTACCGTGAGAGAAAATTAGAATATTTTTAATTAATTTTGACATTGTAGGATATTTCTGACGACTTTTCACAATTGACAATATTTTATTTCAGTAAAAATCGATTCTTTGATATTCAACATAATCTTTTCCTTCTGAATCTTGATATTTCCTTTTCATTATTCATGACTGATCAATTGTCTCGATTGAGTAAGATAAGCATTTATCACGTAAAAGATCAACTTCATTCAACGACAGTAGACCAGGCACTGCTCGGGCAAGACGAAGAACAGGATCGATTGTATTTGGTTCAGCACAACGCGAGTGGTCTGATGCTTGTACATCACATAAAAAAGAATTGTTCAATGGCAAATATGTTCTCATATAATCGGCAATTGTATGATATATAATCCTGACGTGTTTAAAAGATATTTCACGTTCTTCCTTGGACAACTGTGGAAGTAATTTTCGTGTTTCTTCAGCTAGAATGAGATATTCATATAAGTAGAATACACGATTGATTTTCTGCTCACCAATTTGTAATTGTTTATTATCTAATTGTCTCTCAGCTAATCTGTAATCAATAAGTAATAAATTTCCTCCTTGTCTATCACCCATAGAAGTAGTTGTTAGAAATGATAACAATAATTTTCGATATATATCAGATACCTCTTTATATAACAGATGAATCAACGGTCCTTCTTGTTCAAACCATGTAAGGATTGTATCAAAAATAGCACGACATAAATAGGAAACATGTGAACGAATTTTTGGTACATTAGAGCATAAAGAACGGCGGTCGGTAAGAAGCAAAATCGGTCTCCTCTCAGATCAAGCTCATATTCACAAGTCTGATGTAGTTTTCCTCCGTGATTAAAACTAGCACCTCAAAAAAAAACATTTTCACCTCTCTGAAAAAAATTTCGCATCCGAACTTTTCTCCCCTTAAATGAACTTTATTTACAGTATTTTCCCCATTTCTTACCTTTGCCCAAAGCAAACCTCAACTACTGTATATCATTCCATAGAGAATTTTGGATTACAAAATGATATATGGGACATTGAGAACCAGTGGGGCCTATGGGTCCTAACACTAGAAATACTAGTGTAGAGTAGAGTGATGTTTTCGACATCAATGGATAGGCTAAATCTATATAAAACCGTGTACCATTTACATCCGCCTTTGACGTCAGTGACGAGACCTACCTCATATTATAGAGTTCAGCAAGCGGAACCGAATGGTGACAACCGCAAGTCTCCAGTCTTGTTAGAAAAAAAGCTATAGCCATCTTACCCACGCAGGAGAAAAATGCGTTTCGTCATTTTCCGACGGATTTGGGCTAATTTGTAGAACGTCTGCTGACCACATTCCCTAACGTAGAACCTTGAAGTTGGTGTCAAATGAAAGAGCGCATCGAGTTCTATATATTTTGACGGAGAAGAGTTATGCACACGTCGCAGGCTTAAGATAGAGATTTGTTAAAGACCCGGTTTTCTACAAAACCGAGTGATGTTAAAATTTCTTTCAGAAGCTTTTCAACCATCTCAGTAGACAGCCCCTTCAATTCTCCATAAAACAAGATGCTGGACAGACAGTGGCATAGAAAATACGATACAGTTCGAAAACGCCGTTAACGCCAATGAATTTTTATTCCTAACTAGGGGTGTGACAGTTCCATATCAGTTCCGAGAGCGGGAGCTAGCACACCATTTCAAGCTCATATGAAAGGAGCTGATCAACAGCTCACATGAGTAGGAGCTGGAGCTGGTTAACAGCTCAC